AAATAAAGCACTGAAATGTGCGCTGCTTTTCGGTCTGGTTACTACCGTTCATGTCAGAACCGGTGCCATAATGGCACCGAATACCGGTACCCATCCCTAATCACGAGTACACGAGAACACAAGTACGCATATTGAGACAGTCCCAATTTCTTCACCCTCTGCCAGGATTCTGTGAGGAACATAACGTCCAAGCTATCACTCATTAAAAAAAAGCCATTTAGCCAATGATTTGTTGGCATATAGATTTGAAACGAAGAACTGAAAAACACTTGAAATATATTTGCATATAAGACATACATGAAAACACAAAAACTGTCATTGTAGTGGGTTTTTTTTTTAGTTTAAAGAATATGATAAGTGGTAAGACAATGAATTTTACTTCTCACTGTCACTGTACATGTTATGTAGCAGTATCCATTTTATCATGCATGTATGCTACTTTTCTCTGCTGACTGGAAATGTTTTTTCTTTTGTTTTCATGAAATAAACTAGACTAAATTAGACTTTCACAGTCTGTTTGTTTTTTGTTTTTGTTTTTTTTTTTACTTTTTTCCTGCTTTTGTTCACTCCAAGCTGGTCAAAAACCCACAGAAGGGCAGAGTAAACTAACAATGTGGCGCAATCACAGTGTATTAGTACCTTGTTTTTCATAAACACAAACAGGTGACTGACTGAGATAAATATTATTATCGTCCACTTTGACCATTCTGAACATTGAAAGAGATTTTTTCAACAGTTACACTTTGTGTATTTCCTTAAGTTAGTTACATCCAACATTAATATGTTCTCTTTAAATCCATCTTCCCTAAGATGCTTGCAGACATTTCACCTCTCATCCAAGAACCTTCTTCAGTTCCAGGGTCAAATGGTGGAGAGTCCCAGATCTAAGCCCTGTGGGAGTGTCCCCCCGAGGGGGACAATGGACCCCCTAATGATCCTCTACCTAATCACATGAGCCAAGGTGTAAAAACGGCCAGGATTCTGTGAGGAACATAACGTCCAAGCTATCACTCATTAAAAAAAGCCATTTAGTATAAATGATTTGTTGGCATATAGATTTGAAACAAAGAACTGAAAAACACTTGAAATATATTTGCATATAAGACATACATTCAATTCAATTCAATTCAATTCAATT